AGTCACATAATTTGTTCCTTTACTCTTAATATTCAACAATGTCCTCAATTTACTCTAGTGTCCCACTGATACATGTTCTTCATTCAAATTCATCTTGACTTCCATCTCTGATTCAGATTCCTAGTAAAGAAAATTACCATAAAATGTTGTAACTCCGACTTGCACCTGAAGCAGACATTATTCTATGGCATAATTTAAACAAATTAAGCTGCACTGTTATACCCTCTAAAAAAATTTATGTTTGTGGTTTCGGGAGCAGAAAAAATGAGAATAAAAAATTTTCACCGCATTACAGAAAGGAAATTCCTCTGAATTTAAAATGAAGTGAAATGATATCAAACAATTATTGCGTAAAGCAAAGGTGGGGAACCCTTTTACCATTAGAGGCCGCATGTAAATTAAGAAGTTATAAAGGAGGTTGCTTCGGTTTATGTACTTATAAAGGCGACTTTTATGAAATAATTACAGCTTTTGTATAGATTTAACAATTTTGTGCTCATAGAAATATTATTTAAAAATAAATAAAACCTTATTTATTCATCATTTGACATAATATAAAACATTTTTGTATTCACATAAGGGTAAAACTTGTTATAACATTAATCATTGATCATCATTTTTCTATAAATTTTTTAATTCATTGATATTGTATAGCTTTCTATGTTTCACTGTTGGTAATTTTATTCATATAAGCATATATATACATATATACATATATTTGGGTCAAACTTTCTCAAGTGAAGCCTTAATTGTTCCCCTACATAAGCATGTGTGGTAGTGCTGCCATGCTGCACGAGGCGGCGCTCTAACATTTGAAACGTACATTAGCTATTTCCATGAGCAATCAATGAAACATACATACATACATGCCATTCTTTATTTAAGGTATCCGACTACTTTCGGAACCGTGATTTTGCAAAAGCGCATAAATGGATAATTTTCATGATATTTAGTGTCACTTAGATTAGACTACATGTATACAATTGTTTTAAGGGAATTTTGACAAAAATATTATTTATACACTATTTTGGCAAAAAATTAACTAGAATAATTTTTTTTCAAAATGTTCTCCTTTTGTGAAAAATGCTTCTATTATAATATTTTGCCTGTATATAGCTCAGACCTCTGTACAGAGGCTCAACTAGAATTTTTGAAATATATAACTTAGAAGTGGGTTTATCCATATTTTACGACAACAGAGGGGAGCAATTTTAAGAAAAAACCCGATAATTATTTCAATGGGTTGTAACCTGAAAATAATGTGAATTTTTCAAAAATCATATGAGCCTTGTACAGAGATCTAGCTATATACAGGCAAAAATAATATATATGAAAAGTTTTAACTAAAGCAGAACATTTTAGAAAAAGTTTATTTAAAGTTAAATTTTTCAAATTTTATTTAAATAATTTTTTGTCAAAATATGCTTTAAAACAATTTATAATGTATTCTAATCCAATGACCTAATATCATGAAAATTATACATTTAGGGTTTTTAAATATGATTCCGAACTAGTCGGATACCTTAAGATAAAAAAAATTCAGTAAGTATATATGAAATAATATAATTTTCCTACAAGTATTTTTTATCATAAGAATAGAATATAGAAATATGTTATATGTATACATATATATATAACATGCACGTGTATGTGTGTTTATGTTTATATATATATATATATATATATTAGTGGTAACTTGTGGTATAACATTAAACTTCTTATGTTATGATTAGAGACTTTTATTTCTTTTCACTACAGTCCAATAGTATAAGGCAGCGGTAGCCGAGTGGTATAGGTATCTATCGCGGCTGGCTTTGTCACGAGTTCAAGCCCAGTACCACTAAAGACCCTCCGGGTAGGGCAGTGATGCAGGTTAAATCTGTCGAGAGCTGAAACGTCCTTCCGCTGGTGTAGTGTGGTAGTTAGGAGAGGGTTATGCCAGCTCACACAGATGCCGTCCACGTCACTTGACCATGGTTCAAAATTTCGTGGTCCGTCGCCAAAAGCCCTCGTGTAGCTGAACAGTGCGACGTTAATACTCACTCACTCGCTCACTCCAGTAGTATAGGCAAATTACATGTGACTGTTGGCTGGCCTGAAAAAAAAAATATTTAAGCCGGCAACCTTAGTTTCTAAGGTTAAGAGTTTGCTGTTGTACTGTAGTTGTAGTTGCTAACTTATTCTTGACCTATACTGCTTGATTATAGTTCTATTTTTGTTTTGTTTCTTTAGATTTATAGCTATTTAGTACACATTATTATTCATTATGTGTACATAAACTCATTTTAATAATTAAATTATGCTTCATTTTTTACTTTTATATTCGAAATGAGTTTTTAATTTTTTTTACAAAAAATAAAAAATTTAAAACTGAACTGAACATTTATTTTAACAAGTTTTGTATGGTTAAAATGAATCCTTAAAAAAGCATTCGATAAAGGAAACGAATTTCATTTTTATTTTATATTTAAAAAAAGTGCAAAATTATAAACATATTGCTCAAAAATTCAACAATTGAATTAAAAAAAAAATGAATGTTATATTAATGAATGATATTCTCAACTTGTTAGAGTGAAATAAGAATGAGAAAGATTGGAGCATCCGTCTTTCTATTAAAGAGTTCCAAATATTTAGTTTATTGCTCCTTGATATTGTTTAGTAAGTTATCTATTTTATAGTTCTATATATGAATGAATTATTTCATTATTCTTATAGAATGTGCTATGAGTAATTATCTCATTATTTTATGAAAACGTTCTCTCTCTCTCTACGAGTTAATTAGTGCATTGTTCAGTTAAAATTTTCGTTGGGTTATTCAGTGCATTGTTCTGCAGGAATATTCTACGAATTATTTAGCTCCTTTTTCGATGATGATACTTTATGAGTTGTTTAATTCTTTGTTCAGTGTGAATATTCTATGAATCATCTCCTTTGGTGAAAGAAAATGCTCTATTTTCCATAATAAGATTATCAATAAAATATTATGATTGAAACTCATTTTATATATTTTTGGTTTATTCGAATTGCATTCCTGTGTTATATCCATGAAATGAAGCAACTTTTTGAAAAACAAAGTAAAGATCTGCGTGCATAGAGGCTGATGTTTATTAAATTTATCGAGGCTCCTTACGTTGGTGCAGTGTAGAAGTTTGGAGAATGGGGTACCAATCCAAGGGTAATTCTCTGGTACTACTTGATCGCAGCTCGAAATTGCAAAGTGTGTTGCTTCTAAGTGAAACGTTAATAAATAAAATAGAGTCATAGAATAAGTTTTGCAGAATTTATTTTATTTCAGCATTCGATATTTATCAAATTACTATTTCTTATGCAAAGAAATTTTAACTCACATTGTTAACAGATTACAGATACGTATTTTGAAATCCACATTTTTATGAATGCTTAGTTTCATCTAGTGTTATAAGTTAACATCCAAACCTGATATTTTGAAGAAAAACATGTGTCAATAGTATTGAAATTCTTTAACTTATGTTTTAAAGGCTTTTATCAGGTTTTAAGAAAACTGTGAAAAAAAAAAGGGATTGGCATACAGCCATAGATGTCGTTAGCGAAAGTCTTACTAGTAAAAAAAAAAAATCCGTTTTTCGAAGTATCAGGATTAGAGATGAGTCTTAAAGTAAACATTTTATCCAATATTTCAAAGTATCTTTAAAACTTTCATTTCTAAAGCCTTCAGTTTTCATCTTTATATCAGTTATTGCACTTCAGTAGCTAATTACTCGTGTTTTTTTAAAAAAGGGGGTAAAAAATTCAGATGTATTTCCTCTTTATTTCTTTACAAAAATGCTTATTATCTTTAAAAATATATTTAAATTTCATTATTTTGTGTTAATTAGTTACTTTGAGAAGAAATTAATTTTCAATGGCATTTACGAACATAAATCAGTTTAAATTGTTAGTATATTTATTTATGAGAATGTTCTATAAATTATTCAATTCATTGTCTTACGAAAATATTCTGTGAATTATTTATAGAGTATCACATATGTTTAAAAACCATACATTCTTTGGGAACGCTCTGCCCTTAATTTAATACAAATCAATTTACTTAAAAAAACCACTGTTATGTTTCATTAATAATCTCATGAAGTTATGATGTTACACACAGCACAATTTTTATATTTGCCTTTAGAAGAATATTCTTCATTTCATTTTAATAATCAAAGGAAATATAACTGAAAATGCTTTTATTTTTCCCAATTCCTACTACTAGTTCGCTCTCTTCCAATATATATATATATATATATATATATATATATATATATATATATATATATATATATATATATATGTCATTTCGCGTAGGGAGCTTATTCTGAAAGGTTGAATTTTTGATTTCTGGTAATTATTTTACACGTAAGTTTTTTTTAATGTTTTTTTAATTTTTTTTATTTTATTTATTTTTTTTTTTATTCCTCTCCTTGAGACATTCATTATTGTTCTCTTTTCTTAGCTTCATTTTAATATATTATCAGGTTTTTCTTCCACGTGTTGTATTAGGCTTAACTTTTCAACTTGGTGTTTTTTCCCCTATTATGTCGAAATTTTCTGCTGTACGGGGAAGGTAGTATCCGTAAAGCATTGCTAACCCTAAGTCGCTGGCCTAATTCAGCGACAGCTTTAGAAATCATAATAGGTCTCCAGTTTAGTCCAAAGACTTTTTTTTATCTACATTTGTTGTGTCTGGTGAATTCCAATTTCTTCCTGCTTTAGCACTGTAGGTTCTAGTACTTCTTCACTGTTATTTTATATTACTATATATATATATATATATATAGTTCAAATTTTCAATCTTTAATAAAATGTTTTCTATTCATCCATTCATGTTCAAATACATTTTTTAAAACTGGTAGTGGATGGCCCTTGATGTTAATACAGTTTTTTCAAATATTAATTCATTAATTAAATTAAAAAATTAATAAATAGTAACAAACAAAAATAATAGTTCAACAGCATACATAGAAAGAAAAATTGCTCGTTGAGTCCCTGTAGCGCAATGGTTTGCTCGTTGGACTTCAAATCCAGATGTCGTGGGCTCGAATTCCACCTGGTATGGCCTAATTTCTGAGAATGGGAATATTTTTTTACTATACTATTTTATTAAAATAACTAAATTTAATTAATGAATATAAATAGTAATAAACAAAAACAAAAAATAGTTCAACACCATATACAGAAAGGAAAATGTAAAATTGCAAGGAAATCGCTTTCTATTTTGACACTTAATATTGTGATTTTGTCATATGTATACACATATTTATATTAATTGTAACTATTTAATAAAAAGTAACTAAAATAAACTTTTTCTTTGTTGGCCGAAATAGGAATTGATTTAATTTTTTTTTATATTACTTGTTTTGTTAGATTTTATCTTAGCAAAACAAAAAATGCGATGTCTTATATATTTGTATACATTTGTTAAATACCAATGAAATAAATTTTGAATACTTTAAAATAATAAATTAAAATATATTTAATTTACACTAAATTTAGATTATCACAGAAACTACAACGAAATATGATGCCAAGTTTTATTGAATAAAAAATACTATTATATAACAATTAATATTTAAATTTCTTTTGTGTTTTTATCATTAATTAACGTAAGATCCTACATAATCAAAATGGAGTAAATTTATCCATATAATGTCACTCAAAATCAATCCATTTACCCATTTTTCACGCCTTAACCCTTCCTTCTCGAAATAAAAAAAAATAAAATTTAAAGAGGGACAATTTTCATTTCAAAGTGATAAAAAATATATTCTCTACTCTCTGTACTCTCAAAATACATAGAAATTTTCTTGTGATGTAAATGATTCTAGATTTAAGACAATCTTAGCAAATTTGAATTTTAAAAGCATAAATAAAATAATATTGAACTTTTCAGTTTCTAAATTTAAATTTATTATATTTTCAGAATTTACAAAGCGTGCACAGGAATCACTTTTCTAGACATTGAGTTGAAAATTTTCCTCTTAGTCTTACAGCAATAGGATGTTGAACTTAACTATCTAACATAAACAATAGAAAATAGGTAAGAAAAGAACTTACAATGAAAAAAATATGAAATGATTAACAAGCATAATTTACATACTCAATCATTTGACATAAACATAAATCTCTACTGGTTAACTTATAGAAGTTAAATTAACACCTCGTGCGTGGAATCTTAATGGCCAACTTGATTTTAACAGAGGTGTTCAACTTAGAAAAGTCTTTGTCTGGTATTGTGTGCACAAGGTGGTAAAAGAAATTATTTGAACTTAGGTAATCGTTATATACAGAAGTAGACTCGGAATGTTTAATTGTATTAATTTAAAATTTCAATATAAGGGGTCTCAGGGGTGTTAAATTTTTCTAGAGGTCTGAAAATATAAACAATTTTCAAACAGGTATAATTCTTTTAAATTTAAATTAAATGATTCGAATCTCTTACAAAATTATTTAAAAAAAGAAGGGGGCTTCAGATAAGTATAAAATGTTTAAAATATAATAATAATTTTAAAATCATAAGCTATGAAAAATTCTATGATAAACATTAAGTATTTTCTGCGTTGTGCAAGCTATTTTCTAAAATAGTAGCCTCTGATGTATAAAACTTTATAGAATTATAAAATGCATCATACTCTTTAAGCCCTACCTAATTTTAGTATTATATATATTTTGTATTTCAAAAATATTTTAAAAACATTGCCATTTTTAAATATTTTTAAAAATTTATTTTATTTTATTTTATTTATTAAAATATGGAAGTTATTATTCTATTTATATAAAAATAGCTACAGTGTAATAAAATACATTAACTTTATTAATCAATTTCACAGTAAAAGTAATTACCTACTTTTTTTGAAAATAGCATCGTACGTAAAACTTAATAAATATGTCTTATAGAAAAGTTTCTTATATTCATATGCTTATAATTTTTAAAATTATGATTATATTTTAAACATTTTATACTTTTCTGAAGCCCTATTCCTTTATAAATAATATGTAAAAGATTCGAATTATTTAATTTAAATTTAAAAGAATTAATTATACCTGTTTGAAAATTGTTTATATTTTCAGACCTCTAGAGAAATTTTTAACACCCCTGAGACCCCATAAGTTAAAAAACGTTTTGCTAAAAAGCGTTAAACAGTTTTCCAAATCAATCTCATTTGATAAACTTCTAATGTTTTCTATGATAAGGTTCTAATGTTTTCAAATTATATTTTCTTTGCAATACATATCTGGAAAAAATATATGCCAAAGTAATTACATATATATTAAGTTATATTTATCATTTGAAAATTATTTATTTAATATAAATCATATTTAAAACAGAAGGAGATAGTTTTAAGAAATTATCTCTTCGAGTTTAAATTGGAAGAGTTGATAATAACTTAATCATTCATTAAAAGGATAAAAAGAAAACAAACTTCTGTTCCAGTGTTTCAAACTTTCAATATGGGCCCCTTTTTCAATCACAATTTTTATCGCCCCCCTTTATACTTTAAAAAATTATAATAATAATAATGCACTTTGACGCTGCTACAAAACACGATTTTTTAATTATAAATCGTACAAATTAATAACATAAGTAAAAATTTTTGTATACGTTACTTTTAAACAAAAAATTAAGAATAGGATAATTTTATGTTATTTTCCTTTTCTAATTTTTTTAAATTTTAAAAATATTGAAAAATTTTGGGGGCTTAGAAGCAAAATATAAATATCTTTTAAATAATAATAAAAAAAATTTTTTTAAAAAAAGTTTTATTTTCTTGAATAAAATAAACTTTTTTTTTTTTTTTATCAACTTATAAAATCGTTACACAATTTATGATATAAAACTGGTCGCGAGATTTAAGTACTGTTTTCCTTAGATTGAAAATTTTAAAATTTAAAAAATCAGATCAAGTTATTTAATTTGTTGTTTATAAACAATAAATCTCGCGACAAGCTTTTTTTCATAAATTGTAAACGTTTTTTAAAAGTTGATAAAAAATTTTTTAAAAAGAAAAGTTTTTTTTTATTTTTTTTAGAGCATTTAAAAAAAAGCTTTTTTTTTAAAAAATTTTTTTAATTTTTAATTTTATTAACATCATACCTTTTGTGAACCCGGTTTTCTGGAATGGCTTTTTTAAAGACAAAATATAATCTGAGCAAAATTTTAAAAAAACCCCTGGGGCGTTTCTTTTTTACCCTTCCTTTGAAAAACTTTGCTCTGCAAGACAACCCATGGGGGAAGCACTGAAATTTAAAACTTGTTCTTATAATGGCTGAAGTCCCCAAATTTTAACACGAGTTTTTTTTTTAAAAAATGATAATATATTATTTTGATAAAATAGTTAATTGTAAGGGGGAGTAAAACTAAGGGGCATGACAATGATACAAAAATGTAAAATGATTTTTTGAAATGAATATTATATTATAAACGGTTTTCAATGAACTGTAATTTTAAGCCCCCAGAATTAGCATTTAGAATAAATGTTAAGAAATAAAAAAGAATATAAAATTCTAATGAAACACATTTGTACTTTTTTTTAATTTTTAAAGGAGAAAATTCAAAATGTTTTACCCGGGGACGGGGGATCATACTAAGTTAATGGTAGCGGGGGTGATGCACCCCAATTTTTTTTTTATAATTTTTTCAAAAACAAGATAAAAATCACAATTTCAGTGAAAAATTTTAAACAAAAAATATTTTACCATTTCGGATTTTTCTTTTTTTTTTCATAAATTTGTACCCAATAAAACTGAATTAAATTGTTCCAAATGTACGTGACCAATAAAAGACACAAATCAAGACATTTTTTTGCTAACATTACGGGAAAAGATTTGCAAGCAAACTGTCACATTTGTTCACGTTATTGTAATTTTAATGTCCGTTGATGATCGACAAATATCCTGTTGAACTTTTTTTTTTGTTGTGTCTTTTGACGGGGTGAAGTGCATTTTGCGGTAAATTTGGCTTCGTATTTTTGATAAAGTTTTTGTAGCTATTGAAAATTTTCCTTTCGTTTCATGTTTATTGTTTTTCTAAAATTTATTTTCCTAACATGATTAATATGCATTATTTCACAAGTGCCTTTGTTTGATCAGCTTCAATTTTCCCTTTTTTCAGGAAAAATCCAGATGCCCAAATTTTTCATAATCTGCTATTTACATTTATAAACCATAATCGTCGTACAAAATCCCAATTAAAAAACCCCTTATTCTGGGGAAAAAAAGCATGCAAAAAAATTTTTGAAAAAAATGATCGTGCCGGAAACTGGTCTAAAAAAAAAGTCCGATTCTAAAAAACGTTTGCCACTCCCAAAAGGAGATATTGGGGTCAATTCATTTTAGCTCCCATTAAGACTGTCATATTAGGGATTCTCTGTCAAGGTCATTGGAAAAATAAACAGTTTTCCCACACAGAATTAAGATTTTTATTTTAAGTTTCCCGTAGACTCATAAAAAAAAAATCTTGGCCAATTTAAACCTTCAAAGTGCTCAATATGCTTATCCATGTATCATAAAACCCCCACATTGTGAAAAAAACGCAACAAATTATATAATTTACAACTTCCCAAAAAAGGGGTTTATATAACATACCACTAAGCTCGAAAGTCAGCAAAAGTAATATTTTAGATTAAAAAAAACGTAATAAAAATCCTCATCATGGGGTTACAGCAAAGAAACAAAATATTTCCTTTTATTTTTGATTTTTTTACCAGATATTTTAAATAATAATGTAGATCGTATTTTTTATTATATCAGAAAGAATTTTTTCATTCCAGTAAATTAATTTTTTAAACCTTTTTTTTTGTATGCTCCCCCCAGGGGGGCCCCCAAAGTTGAGAAACACTGGTGTGAGTCCAAAAGGCTTTTGAAATTAAAAGGAAAAAAGGATGTGTTAAAGGGTGAAAAAAACACATGGGGATTAAGATGTTTCACAGAAAACATAACATGAGCATGCTAAATACCGTTTTTGTGAAAAACAAAACAAAAATGTTTCTATGTATTAACTAAATTTTCTAATGTTTTATAGGAAAAGCTATAATTATTGTACTTTACAGTCTGAATAT